CTAATGCTTAAAAAAATCACTTAGCTGATTGGAAAGCATCCTAACTACAGCCGAATCCAAGACAACTCTAGAACAGTTCAGGAATTCTCCCCTTGGGGGGGGGGGGGGGGGGGAGTATGACCGCTAGGAAGGAAACATCTTAGAAAATAAGATGCGGACAGTCCCAGTGCACAGGCTAGCAGAAATCAAAATTAAAAATGCAGCAGTTCAAGCAGGACGAGCATTCTTGGAGGAATGAGAGCCCTTGTTCCTCCAGAGTGGGGAGATTGTATATGGAGATGTTGCGGTCCCAGGAAGAGGATAATTGGTATTTTGTGAAGAGACCAGTGGAGGCTCTTGAGAAATGATGCCTATGTGGAGCAGCAGCCTCTCTCCTTCTGGGAAAGTAGAAAAGGCGTAAGCCCTATTTTTGTGGGCAAAATGCAGTCGCAACGGAAAGGTCCACCAATATTTAATGTCTTGATGAGAAAAGGCTTGCAGGAGCGGTTTCAAGGCATGCTGCTTTAGGATGGCATAAGGTGAAATGTCAGCAAAGATTTGGACTTTGTGTCTGCAGATGGACAGTGATTCTGCTGACCAGGAGCCTTTCATGACCAGCTCTTTAGTGTCATAGAGGTGTGGTTTCACGATGATATCACAGGGGAGACTGTCTGAGCATGGGGATTGTAGCTCTCAGTGGACTCTATCCAATTCTGAGCGATGATCTGCTAAATCTGGATACAAGTCATGCAGAAACAAGCAAACAGCATCAGTGTCCTTCTCTGATTCAGGCAGTCCCAGGATCCTAAAATTGTATTGCCTAGACCAGTTCTCCAGGTCATCAATCTTGGATAACGCCATATCAAGTTGCACCTGCAGATCTTGTATTCGCTGCATATGTTGATTGGTGCAAGCAATTGTAATTTTTTGTAGTTTAGTTTCCACTACTTCCACCCTCATGCCTAGGCCTTGAATGTCAGCCTTTATATCAGCAGTAATCTGCGCCTCTGTTCTGGCAAGGCCTTGCTCTAGAAGCTGGTGCCCCTTGAGACCTCCATGGCCATCTTGGGTGAGGGCAGAGCTTATTTAAGCCCCTGGCTCCCTGACTTGGCATGCATTTTGACAGTTGGGTCAGACCCGCCAGGCATTGTTCCCACTCCTCATTGCAGAAACTGTCTGCAGCACCGCTGCTACTGACTCTGTAAGTGGCTCCAGACATTGGTGCTCACCCGCTGGGCCTAGTTGTATCCTGCTGGAACATTCTACAATATACAGTTTATATTACGCTGCCTCTGTGTGATATCTGCCACCAGTGCACTACGCTGCACCCTGCTTGCACTTGGCAGCAGATGGATATGCCACTTTTTGCAGCTGGTGCTGAATTAACAGCGGCCGTGGCTTTAGTGCATACGTTTAATGGGTCAAAGATCTCTCTATCAGAGTGGGAGGAGAGACTGGAGAGTGCCGCCCACCTGTATCAGGTCTATAGTTGGCTGATCTCAGAGCTGGCCATTAACTCCTTGGAGGATGATGCCAACCGAGTGGTGATGGTGCTACCAGAAGGTCCACAGGCTAGCCTACAGCAAATTTTGATGTGGCTGAAGGTCTCTTTGGGGAAAAGGTGACGGTACCTAGAACTGAGAAGCAGGTTTTTCATGCAGGAGAACGAAAACCTCACCCACTTTGTGGTAGCTGTCCAAAATCTTTGGAATCGGTTGGAGAAGAAGGATGTACATGGCTGTGCTGACATAGGCACCCCAAATAAGTTTTTGCAGGACCAGTTTGTGGGGGAAATGACGGCTGGCCTGTTAGGAGAGCTCTGCAGGAGTCAGTAATATCACAGTCCTCCTTTACTTTTAATGACACAGTGATGGAAGTGGTATCGCGGGAGCAGGGGGATGCAGAAGCAACATGAACCCTTATACATATGATAGGAGGCCCTAGCACTATCCTCTCTGTCAGCCATTCAGACTGCCATTAGACAACTGACCCAGAACATCACATCCATTGGGTAAGAAATGTCCACATTCATGCAGGAGTTAGCTCTCCAAGGACGAGAATCTGCTGCCGAGGGACCCAGATGAAGATCAGAAGTGTTTGGTGGTGTGACTGCTATGGACATTTACCTGAGACTGTGGCCACTTCAAAAACAAGAGCACCCAGAGGTCACAATTAGACTAGAGGCTCCTGGGGTAGAGGGACGACCCCTGGGAAGAGCATCACAAGCTCCCAAAAGGCCACAGATTATGACTGCACCAAGATCAGTAGTCAATGCCTTAGTAAAGGACCAGTTGGCCCCTTGCCTGATTGACACCGGGTCCGAGGTCACCATCATGGAGTATCAGTTCCATGTCCAGCAGTTCGGGACTCAGGACCAGTTGGACCCATCTTGGCTGTCCCTGAAAGCAGCCAATAATCTGCTCATCATGGTAGAAGGAGTTCCCGGATTGAAGATACAAATACACAACTAGGTAGTGGAACAGGTAGAGGCCATGGTGACCCACAGTGCAGTAAGTTCGATAGTGCCTATTGCATGAATGTTCTGAAGGAATTGGACCTACCACTTTTGCTGGCCAAGACTGAGCAGACAGGTAGGCGCACACAAGGTTGTGATGTGTGAGCTGTGGCTGTGATTCAGGCCTTTGAGGCCTCCCAGCAACCAGCTAGACAACAGACGGAATGGGTGGGTGTTGTCTGCATGCCTCCCAACCAAAAGTTATCACTGGTGCCCCTCCAAGAGGTGGTCTGGTCCCTGCCTACTGAGGCACACAAGAGGCCATGGTGATTGGTTGGGAGTGGTTGATAGCCTGCATCTTGTCTAAGGTACACAGGGGTAAAGTGCTAGTCCAATTTATCATCTTGGCACCACCCAGGTCCCACTCCTGAATCACACCACCAGTGCAGATCTCTACGTGTTGGCCAACCACTGCATCTCTTTGGCCCAACCGGGGGTGGAAGCTGTGTGTGCCCTGTTGCAAGCCACCATGACCTCCCTAAACGATGAACAATACCAACAGCTACTGGACCAACTGGCCATTTCCTTCCAGGACTACCCTCTGCCTCTGCTGATAGACCACCCATTCAGGAGCAATACCACCATATTTTCCTGGCCCTATGACAAGAGGTTAAGGACTTAATCAGTAACATGCTGCAGAGTGAGATAATCCGAGAAGAATGCAGTCCATGGGCTGCCCCCGTACTCCTGGTACGTAAAAAGGACAGTAGCTTGCAGTCTTTGTGAACTATTACAAGTTAAATGCCTGCACCCACTGGGATGCCTACCCCTAGCCCACCACTCATGGTGCTGGGCCATGCTTAATACTTTCCTATGCTTGACCTATTGAGCCATTCCCAGTGGTGGAAACGGACCAGGTGTTAGTGAAGAACTCAGAATGTGAAAAAGGCAGCAAGTTGGAGCCCTGAGTACGGCCTGGTCCACCAAGCCTGCTGTTGACAGAGAGGACAGCAATCCTGTGGATGTTCCAACAGTCCAGGAAGTCCCCTTCGAATAATATCTGCTTCCATATGAAGCCTCAGGTGCCAGCTGATCCAGAGGAGGACAGCGCCACCAATTCATCTGCGGACAGTGCTGAGGTGCCGATCCCTGAGGCTAACAGTCTTGCTGGATCCCTTGACTCCTCCATGGATACAGCAACCGGTTCAGATGAAGGGGGTACATCTGGCCCTAATGACCCCAAACCATCCGAAGCCTTAGAGCCACGTGCTGAAGATGACAGTTCCAAGGGTGATTCCACAGAGGACAGTAAGGTTCACCGCCCAAATTTAGTCTAACCGTGGCTGGCTCCCTGCAAAGTACTCTGATTTGATGGTTTGAGGGTTTTTTTTTGCTTCTGCTGTGATCATGTTCCTTGCAGCTAGTGTTGTTCTTTATTGTGTTTCAATACCGAGGACAGCATCTGACAAAGAGGGGGGAGTGTTGGCAGGAGCAGTCTATACTCCCCACTGTAGATGGTGCTGGACTGAAGTGGCAATGCACAAGGGGAAGGAAGTTGTGAGGAACTTAGTTCCTCTATGATTTCCAATGTTCACCAGGAGGACAGCTGTCAGATTGAACACTCATGCCCCTCGTGACTTCTGTGGCAATCTTGGGTGAGGCAGAGCTTATTTAAGCCCTTGGCCCCTCCCAGTTGGCTGGGACCCACTAAGCTGTATTTCTGCTCCTCATTGGAGAAGCTGTCGGCATCATTTCAAGCTACAGAACCGCTGCTACTGACTCTGTAAGTGACTCCAGGTGGTGTTGCTCACCCACTGGGCTTAGTTGTACCCTGTTGGAATGTTCTACAATATACAGTTTATATTACGCAGCCGCTGTGTGATTTCTGCCACAAGCACACTATGATGCACTCTGATTGCACTTGGCGACAGACGGCAGGATATGCCACTTTTTGCAGCTGGTGCGGAAGGAGAAGCGGGGGCCACTGTGTCACCAGTAGGAGTGGCCTTGGCCTTAGTGCCTAAGTGCATTGGATCAAACATCTCTCTATAAGAGTGGGAGGAAAGACTAGAAAGTGCCAGTTAATATAATGTGGCTTCTGTATGATCTCTGTCACTGGCGCACTACCCTGCACCTTGCTCACAAGCAGATATTGTGAGTTAGGATCATGGCAGGGGAATCTTGCTGTTGGAGTATTTAACCTCCCGAGAGGTATGATTATTTCAGATTTTTGGTGCTGAAAGCGGTACCATTATTTTGCATGGAAATATGTAGTTTTTTTTATTGTAGGCCTGTAATTTTTAGGAATAACTCAATGAAATCTGTCCGAACAAAAGTCTATTAAACATCCCAGGTATGATAAAATTTGAAACACAAAATCATAAATTATAATTTAATAAATAATCATAAAAAATAATAATATAATAATAATACATTTAATTCAATAATATAATCAAACCAAAAACACTGAAATTTGAAATATAGCGCCAAGTTCGCACATCACTAAGCAAAGTCGCAAAATTGTTTTCAGTGTCTGATGACGAATTTCTCCACGAATCATTATCACTCAATTCTGCAAGTGGTTCTGATTTACTATCGCTGTACTCTAGCTGGTCTAAACCCGCTTTTGACCTAAAGGGATGCTTTTTGGATGCTATGGACTTTTCTAAGTTTCCAGGCAGAAAGAACAGTCAAAATGCAGGCAGGGCACAGGACAAAGCAGTAGGGACAAAATGTATGTGAAATGGTTTGAAACAGCAATGTTTTACTATGTAAAATTCGTTTTGAAAAAAATTACATTTTTTTTTTAAATTTTCAAATTTCCCACCGCCGGCAGCGGCGGCGCCCGTACATCCCAACGTCACAGGGACCAGAACACAGAAGCCGGATGCAGGCATCAGCCGGAGGAGATGGCCAGGGACGCTGCAGGGGACACATTGCGGGAGCGAAGGACAAGGTAAGCTCTGTAGCTGGCCAGCTAAGACCAGTCCTAGGTTGTTAATATGGTTCACATATATGTGTATACCAAACCTGCCAATAACCTCAGTACAGTATATATGTGCATATGTTAAAGCCAAAAGCAGAATCATTGCTGTGATTTATGTCTTTGATTGTTATATGACATTTTTATATTAATTGTGTTAGCAGAAGCAGAAAAGGAAAATATGCCTTTAAGAGTTAGTAAAGAGCTGAGCCAATCACAGACAGCCTCACACTGTACAGAGCCTTAACCAATCCCAGCCAGTTTCACATTTATGCCTGTGTAAAATTCCCTGCTAGGATTTTCTAGAGACACATGCTCACCAGACAGAGGAGGAAACAGACAAAGTTCCAAACAGAGAAGCTCCATGGAAGTAGAGAAGGCCAAATAGGTATTTAATGCACTTGTGTGTTCCTCTATTGTTTAACAGTGCAGGTAGATCTGTGTCTAAAAACTGTTGTATGTGTTTACCTGTAGTTCCACCGAACTTACGAATCAAGTCACTGTAGAGTAATCTAACGAATTTATAAATCCAAGTGAATTTATCAAATCTATAGAATTTATCGAGATAAGCTATTGAATCAACCCAACGTAATACGAATTAAACCATTGTAATATGAAAGAAACAAGCCATTGTAAGCAGTGTTATATCAAGAAGACTGAAGTTATTAAAGAAGTTAACTAAAATATTCGGTGTGCTCTTTAAACCTACTGCATCCATAGAGCGGCATTGGAGGAATTATAGAGTAAAGTCAGTCTAATCAAACAAAAAAACAGCAATTGCATAATTTTTCCAATGCCACAGCGCACTAGGCACCAAAGAGTGCTGCGCCTGCCACAAGCTCTGCAGGGACTCCCTATGCAGCGTCGCATGGTAAGCCCGAGTGTAGCTCGGGGTTACCGCTTTTGGTAGAGAAACTTTACCCCGAGCTACACTCGGGAATACCACCAGGGAGGTTAAAGTGGTTGTAAAGACTTAAGTTTTTTTACCATCATGCATGAAGATTGAAGATTGTATACAGCAGCCCCCCCCCCCCCAGCACCCCCCAATGCTTACCTGAACCCCTTCGTAATCCAGTGATGTGCACAAGGGCCTCAGTTCTCTGAGGACTTTCCCTCCTCATTAGCTGAAACAGCAATGGAAGCCATTGACTTCCCCTGCTGTCAATCACAGCCAGTGAGCCAATGAGGATAGAGAGGGTGTGAGGCCGTGCCGTGACTCTTTGTGCAAATGGACATGCAGAGCAGTGGCTCAGGAGCGAGCCTGCTTGGGTGCCCCATAACAAGATGCTTGCCAGGAGCACCAGTAGTGGACCCAAGAAGTGGAACATCAGGGCTGCTTTGTGAAAAATCACTGCACAGAGCAGGTAAGTATTATCACTTTAAAGTGGACCTCCACCTGGAAAAAAAAAAAATAAAAGTCAGCACCTACAAAAACTGTAGCTGCTGACTTTGAAAATACAGAAACTTACCTGTCCCTCGGTGTCCTCACAACCGCTGGTTTCACTGGCCATCTTCTTTCCCTGGTGCTGGCATCTTCAGTGTGGGCACCCGGCTGTGACAGTTTCTGGCTTCACAGCCGGGTGCCCACTGTGCACGCGCAAGAAGTGCTATGCTATGTGAATGGCCCCGTAGTCTTCTGGGACCTGTCACGTGTCGCAGAAGACTACAGGGAGGAAGGGTAGGAGGACAACTTCTACTTCCGATCGCCTAGGCGATCGCAGCAGAAGTGAGAGCGGGTACCTGTCAAATTTGGGTACCCGCTCCCCAAAGATGCCAATCCTTAATGGGAAGCGGGGGACAGAGCATTAAAGCAGAAAATTCCCTTTTGGGTGGAGCTCCGCTTTAAGACCGATAAGAAGCCAGGGGTTGAGTCAACTCAACAGGTTCCATCTCTAACTAAAATATTACACCAGAGCAATCCAAAAAAAATACAATTTGCCCCTATATTTGACTGACCTCACTAGTGTAAACTAAACCAGAATGCTTGTGATCAGTAAAAGCACTTTGATTTTACACTCCTTCTGTATAAGCATTGTGATGAGACCCATTTTTATTTTGAAATCTCCAAGAGATGTAAGCACAATGATTGGAAATCTAGCCAGTAAAAATGTCTTCCTTGAGAGCTTAGCCTTGCAACACATGTTAGAATAATCATCTGGATTGCTCTCGTTTCATGTGCCACATAATGCTAGACCCTGCTCAGACACTGCTGACCGATGACGTTTTGTGAAACCATATACCGCTCTGAAACTGAGGGGGGTGAACGATCTACAGTAATGTCCAGCCAACTCGTTTATTTTATCTGCAGTTACAAATGTAAGATGAAAAGGCAGGAACTTGAGGGGAAGAGGAAACAGAGGTAAAGTAGTGCGACTCATCACTGCTTTGCGGTCAGCAGCAACAGCACAAAAAGCAAACGTACAAAGGTCTCTGCAAGCACAAGAAGTAAAATGTACAAAAGTCTCTGCAAGCACAAAAAGTATAAATGTACAAAGGTCTCTGCAAGCACAAAAAGTATAAATGTACAAAGGTCTCTGCAAGCACAAAAAGTATAAATGTACAAAGGTCTCTGCAAGCACAAGAAGTAAAACGTACAAAGCAGGGGCGGACTGACCATTTGGAAACTCGGGTCAGTAGGGGGCCCCATGAGATGCCCCTGGTACCTTTTTCATAGGCTTTTTTGAGTTTGGGCAAGGACACAGGAGCCCCATGATCCCCTATTGCCCGGGGGCCCCATGAGTTGTCAGTCCGCCCCTGGTACAAAGGTGTCTGCAAGCACAAGAAGTAAAAGGTACAAAGGTCTCTGCAAGCACAAAAAGCAACATATATAAAGCAGTTCTGCAAAAACAGATCAAGGAGAACTGCAAGGTTCAGCTGTGTACAGAGTAAGATATGTTATCTCAGGGCTCAACTACAGTCAAGGCTTTAGTCACTTAGAAGCAAGGGATTAACCATTTATTAAGGGTGAACTTAAAGGGTATCTAAACCCAAGAACAAAAATTGATACTATTCCAGTTTAGCAGTCCTTAGATGTAGTGGCTTCATTAGTTTTCTTTTTCTACACTTCCTCCCCTTTATTTTACATTTTTAATCCTGTCATTAAAGCGGAGCTCCACCCAAAACGGGAAGTTCCGCTTTAAGGACTGCTGCCCCGCTCTCCATTAAGGATTGGCACCTTTGGGGGGCGGAGGGGGAGCAGGTACCCAAATTTGACAGGTACCCGCTCCCACTTTAGGGCGATCGGAAGCTGAAGGTGTCCTTCCTCCCTCACTGTAGTCTTTTGGGACACGTGACAGGTCCCAGAAGACTACAGAACCATTCATGAAGCGCAGCACTACTCACACATGCGCAGTGGGTACCCGGATGTGAAGCTGCAAGATATCACAGCCGGGTGCCCACATTGAAGATGCCGGCCTCCTGGAATACAGGACGGCCAGTGAAACGGGCTGCGGGGGACACACCACGGGACCGAGGGACAGGTAAGTGGCTGTTTTTTAAAAGTCAGCAGCTACAGTTTTTGTAGCTGCTGACTTTTATTTTTTGACAGCGTAAGTAGAACTCTGCTTTAACTCACTTCTTGTCCTAGGGTGACAACAATACTAAGCGGACTATATTGTTAGCTAGGACTACATAACACCTCCCTTTCTTCTCCATAACGGGGGTGGGTGTTTTGTAGCTCACAGAGATAGCAAGGAACAATGCTAACAGATAACAGCCCAGCCACAGAGAGTACAGGATGTTAACAGCTGGGTTTCTGGCTGGATCAGCGTCTTTTTTTTTTTTTGCACTTATCAAACAGATATATAAAACATTTTCAATTGCATATTTAACAGACTAAAATGAAGCAAATAAGAGAAGTGAAGGTTAAAGATTACATACTCTTTAAACTGAATAACTATTTACACAGTTGAAACTGATATGCAGAGCTATTTTACCTGCCAAAGGATTTACATTTCTCTCCAACCAGTACTAAGATTTCCACAATCTTACCAGAGAGCATAGTCGGGTTGGTGAGCTGACATTTTTTAAAGTGATCGTAAAGGTTCTTTTCTTTCAAATAATAAACAGGTCATACTTGCCTGCTCTGTGCAACAGTTAACTCTGCCTCTCATGCTGGCTCGTTCGCAAGATGCATTGTGTGTGTCTATTGACACACACAGCGTGGTTCAGCCCCACCCCCCTGCTCCCTTGTCACTGGAGCCATTGGCTCCCGCTGAGTCCAGTGAGGAGAGAGAGAGCACAGCCACTGCTCTCGGGCATAGATCTGGATCAAGTTTGGGCTCAGGGAAGCACGAGGGGCATTCAAGTCAAACTGAACCTTTTCATTTTACAGGCATAAAAAGGGATGCTAGCAAGGTGGTAAAACACACAGTAGTAAGTGGCAAGTGTGTCCTATTAGTGATAGGTAGTGCACATGGTGCGTGTATGGAACAGCGTGTGGTGATGATGTTTCTTGTGAATGAAGGCGTAAAACCTGTGGAGATCTACAGAAGGCTTCAAGCACAGTATGTTGATGAGACGCTCTACTGCAGTAAGACATTTGAATGGTGTAAATGTTTCAAAGATGGCCGTATGTCCGTCAGTGATGATCACAGCTGTGGTGGTTCCCAGCCAACAGCAGTCAGAACATTCAGCGCATGGAATGCCTGATCCCAGGGGTGTATTTACCACAAGGCAAACAAGGCACTTGCCTAGGGCGGCATTTTTTAGGGGGGCAGCACCTCCCCCTAGAAGAAGGGATGAAAGAAGTGACATGTGCACCATAGGAACCAAGTGGGATCCAAGAGAGGCTGCGGGCTGTTTGATGGTGTATGTAGAGCCTGGTTCTCGCTCTCGGGGATGTCCAGAGCTGTGAAGATGAGTGTCTCTGTAGTTGGGGTGGGGTATTGGAAGGCTCTCCCAGGTGGGGTGCAGGGGTGTTGTTGGTCAATGTCATTCTCTCTCCGCGGGAGAG